AAGTCTATTCTTTTTTTTTTTTTTTTTGGGTTAGTAAGAATTCGGATATTTTATATGCATAAGAATGGAAAATCTTCATTTGGGTTATTGGTTATCGGGCAGGTTTGATGAGTGGAAAGACCCAGCAGAAGAGGCCTTAGCTGGTGGAAGAGGAATGTGAGTTTTATTTTTATTTTTTCTTGAATAAAAGTTTTTTGTATTTTGTGCTGAACATGAAATTGGTCCTTTTCTAGGTTCTGCATTGTGCCACTTGGTAAAGCTTTCCTGAAGATGGCTAGCCAAACGGTATATAAACAAGATTTCTTCTTTTTTACATGTTTCTGTTTTATTCTCAGTAATTTGTAAAAGGAAAAAAAGTATGTGTTCTCAGTAGTCTAAAGGGTCTGTTTGAATTAAATTTTATACCCTGATATAATCAGTGCTCTGATTAACCTCAAGTTTATTATTAGACTCCCTAATTGGTTACTGTTGAAAAAATCATTCTTTTTAATTATATGGAGGAAACTGATCCATTACCTGATAATTGCTTTTTGAAAATATCCAAATCAGTTTCATCTTTCTGCATCCCTTTTCCTTATAATTATTTTGCAGATTCCAAATATTCCTCCAGTCCCATTTAGTTGTCATGTTTACTAAAACTAGTTACTCTTTTCGTCTTCTTGAGCCGAGGGTCTTTCAAAAACAGCCTCTCTGCCCCTTAGGGTATGAGTAAGGTCTGCCTACACATTACCCTGCCCAGACCCCACTAGTGGGATTTCACTGGGTCGTTGTTGTTGTTGTTGTTGTTGTGTTTGCTAAAACTAGTTATTCTAAAATACTTGTCATTTTAGAAAATCAAGAAAGAACTAATTAATTGTTTCCACCTTTACCCTCACTCTAATAAATGTGGTGAGAGACTAATATAGTGAAAGCAAGAATAGCAATAAATTGAGATCTAAGATTAAATAAGGGCGATTTAGTCAAATTATCCTTTTAAGTAATGTTTTCCCAAGGGGCGGTGGATTGATCTTGCTAAATTCAATCTTCTGTTGCACTTCACTTTATATCGCAGTTGAATTTTGACCGAATAACAGAAGTATTTGTATCTTTGTCTAGTTTGTCTGAGTATTCTGGTGATTATTCACGCTAACTAATAATTTTGAGTGCTACAAGATCTGTATAGATGATCTAATCAATTCTAAAGTTTATTCGGTAAGTTTGTACTCACATAGATTTAGGACATAGGAGAACAGATATCGAGGGCTCGACTTCACTTTGAGCATTGCATAAAACAATAAGAGAAGACTGTTGTTATTATGTGTTTAGATTGTAAAATGCCAAAGAACTTGAGTACCTATTATGTAACTCTTAGAGCTTTCATAAAAACGGTTATTGTTCTTGATAGTTCCTACTTTTAACGAGTGAAGAGGTGACGAGCTCAGTTGGGTAGATATAGCACAATTTATNGGGGGTTGTATAATTGATAAAAAAAACAATTGGGTGTGTATAACTTTTTATAAATATCCAAAAGAAATAACAAAGCCCCCAAGTGTTGCAGCTTTAAACAGATCTATTCAACTGTTAAGAGCAAATTCCTATATAGAAACACATTACTGACCAACAACCAATAGATGAATCTTTACAATAGGACACTCAAAGAAAAGGCACACATTTGCTGCCCTTTCTTTGCCTTCATAATATGTACTTAGAGGCAAATGAAATTTGCCTCTGGAATTTGTATTTCTTACTCACATTTTTGCCTTCTAGATTCATCAATTAACTCCCTTTTTGCCTTTTCTTCTTGCGGTTTTTCTTATTTTACTCGTGATATTTCCTTTTCTATATTTGAGAAACACCCAATTGGTCGAGATAGAGAAAGGAAATTGGTGCATTTCCATGAAAGATAACTAGATAAGGCAAGGTTATGCCTGTTATTTTCCAGAAGAACCTAGCTTTTTGTAGTAATAGGCTTGCTGCTATGATGCTATCTCATAATTCTTTTTTTTTCTTATTGTTTTCTTTTCTCATTACTTTTTTCTCCAAATTCTTTTGCATTAAACTATAATTGGACTGAATTCTATTTCTAAAGTACTGTAAATGTTATATGAAAATGTGAAAGCATTTGGCTCCCCGTAAAGAAGTGTACGGAGGTCAGGTGTATTAATTACCACATCCTTACCCTTTCATTACAAGGACATTGTTCATATGTTAGCTTATGTAATTATTGGAAAAAGAAATACTTGTATCATCATTTCATTCTAAAGGTTTGCTTCTTGTGTGTGTTAATAGAAAGCGAGTACAATTTCAAATTTCTCGCTTATTGCTCTTCTAGTTGGGAATACTAGAAAGTTTGTTGATCCCTTCATGGCTTCATCCAATTCGGCCATCAATTCTGGATAGGTATGGAGTTAATAAAGGACAAAAGAATTATGGTATGTGAAGGTGAATGGACTCAAAAGTGGGATAGGATATCTTTTTAATAATTTGAAAGTTTAGCCCCTAAGCATGGTCTTGTTTCCTGTTTTACTAATGTGGAGTTGTTAAGATATTTGTATTGGATTCTTTTTTTTGATATTTAAATTGCATACTTATTGTAATGTTTTAAAGTTGACAGCGTTCTGGTGTAGTGCAAAATGAAATGATTTGGAATTATCCAAAAGAAACAAAAAAAAAAAAGTGAAAACTGATGATGTAATTATGGTGTTTATTCCGTATAGTAGTCTCATGGAAGGTCTAAAACTTTGTAGCGTTTTAATGTAAGTGCACTCTTTACCAGGAATTTTTCCACCACACTGACAGAATTATTACTCTTTATCACAAAATGTAATTGGACTCAAAAGTAGGTATATTGTAAATAATTATTTTTAAAAGTTTAGCCTATGAGAAAATGTAATGTGCAACTTATGATGCTTTAGGTATAAAGATCTCTGTTGCAGGAAAGTAGGTGGACTAGAAATGAATGAGGAACTTGAAAAGTGAGGGATAGGTAAGAACCCTCCGCTTCCAACCATTAGGGGTGGGGTACGAGTCACCAATGGAACAAGGAAATGGCCACGATTGGGCTTCTAGGTTGGGGGGATTTGGGGGTTGGGGGTTTACCTGATATAAAAGAAAGAAATGAATAGTGAACTTCAATTGGGAATTGGGGAAGGAGGTTGGTGCATAGAGAAAGGTTTCAAAGGGATCTCTTTGGAGTGATTAGTCACCTTTATGTCTCTTCCGTGTGTGAGGTCATCTGTTTGCTAGACTGATTTGGAATTAGTCAGACATTCAATGTGATGACCAGTTTTAGATCGGTTCCAGCGGCTAGGGCATGCGATAATTTTGGTTGTGGCCGCTACCAATTATGGAACTACATTCAGAAATATAGGGAAAGTTGAGAGCATGGGAAAATCATTTCCATTTTACCTCTAGCTTTGGACTTGGTGGGCAAATAGACGAGGTTGTTTTCTTTCAATTTCATGAAATAAGCAAAAGATATTGACGAATGATTCAAAGTAGGTCTTGGTCAAATTTAAGTTTGTTAGTAGTGTCCTATATTCTTGGATTTGTCAGTAGTAGTTATGGTATAGTTTTATGGTTTACTAGTAGTGGATAGTTGTTGCTTTATTAGTGGTAGTAGTGGTCAGTTTAGTGGCTTAGTGGTCTGTGTATTTGTATGCCTATATAAAGACATGTTTGTTTCAGTTTATTAATTAATAAAGTTAAGAAAATCCAGCACAAATATAGTACTCCATAGCTTTTCTCCTCAGCTTTTCAATTCTGTTGCTTACTTTTCTCAACAAAAGAATGATAGTGATATCTGGAGCTGCCTGAATAGTTAACCAAATGCCACAATGATGATATTTTGTCTGGCCCTCTCCTATAGCACTTTCTGTTTATGCCCCGTGTGATATCTGCCCAATCTGGATCACGGTCCTACAAGGCACAGATTGCGGAAGATTAATTGTTCCGGTTAACTCTTTTAGCTGCTATTATATTTTTTTCTCCACTGTTGTAAGCTTGTTCTAACAATGGCACCCAAAGTCATGTCATAGTTCTTATTCAGCCTTTGTGAAAGTTAGTAATTTTGATAATGTTCCAAATTTCATTTCAAAACAATTTTGACATTTTTCTGCTGCAAAATATCTTTGCTCATTTTCGTTTTTGTGTCTGTTGTTAGATTGACGTTGCTGCCAACTCTGCTGTTAAAGTTCTTGAAAAGCCAGACTTGCTTTCACCTGCAGTGGTACAAGCTAATATCAAGGACCAACTCTATAGAATGAATTCTTCTATGAAGAAACTGGAGTTGGATCTGGGCAAACTTATAGCAAATGTCAGGCCGGAGTTGCCTTGTCCTTCAAATCTCCCTGAAGATAGTCACAAATAAGTATCACCTATCAACACCTAATGAAGGCGCTGACCTTTCTGGTTCTGATCGTGGAAATTCAATCTCAAATCCGAGAATCTGGAAGTGAATTATGACCCTCTTGCTTCAATCTCAAGATGAGGATTATTATCTTTTTCTGGCTTATATAGCATGTTCTGGTTGTTTACAGGCAGAATGGTGGGCAGGCATTCGGAGGTGCCATTGTTCTCTGCTGCCTCCAAGTTTGCAACTGAAGTTCTTGAGAGGCCAATTTGCTTATCATCCTACTGCTGGATGATAAGTAGGATGATAAGGATTTCTAGTTTCTTGTCCAAGTAGATTGAGAGTTCAATCTCTGTATGAAAAACAATGAACGAATGATTTTTTTTTATATTTTTTTATTTAAAATTCCTCCCAATTTAGGAGGATCCATAGTGTTTCCACACTTTCCCTCCGGCATGCCTCGAACTTTCCAATTTAGGAGGATCGATAAGATTTCTAGTTTCTTGCCAAAGTAGTTACTCAATTTATATATATATTTTAAAGTAAGGGGTCGTTTGGTATGAGGTATAAGAAGGTATAAGGGTGGTATAAAAATTTAATACCATCTTAATACTCTGTTTGTTTAGCAAATCAGGTATAAGTTATCCCGGTGTTAATTTTAACACCGGGATAACTTATACCTTATAGAAGGTGGGGTAATTAGCATCGGTATAACTTATACCTTCTTCTTAGAAACTATGCAATTGTCATTCTTAATATAACATACCAAACAATGAATAAATAACAATTCCAGCATAATTAATCCCAGCATAACTTATCTCAATATAACTTATACCGGCATAACCTATACCGGTATAAATCGTATTTCAACCAAACGACCCCTAAGCAATCATGGGACCCCACTCCATGAAGGGATGTGGACACATCAATAATCACAACTTAACTAGCAATTGTTCTTAACTTCATCTTCAACTACATATCCAAATAACAGTTTCGAGTTTCGATTATTCCCTAGAGGAATAACCTGTTTGAAATCCAATTGTATAATTGCTACGTGAGATTATTCTTGTTGTGGAGAAAAAATATCACGACCTAAAATTCACTAGTTGATGACACTAAATCCAACCCGCTATGTAAGCCAACTAATAACTATCCAATTTCAATAATGCTAATAAGTCAATTAAACAAAATAAATTATCCGGATCCATTACATTCCCCAAAGACTGGTAGTACAAATCATGAGCTTCTAAGAATAGAGTCTACAAAGCTGACATGAAAATAATACATATTCTGTTTGAACAGTACATAAATAGAGTTTTATAATCTAAGGCTACCGTGAACAAGAGGCAGCTACAGCAGGAACGCATGTACGCCTTCAAATCCAGCAACCATCGAACACAGCAACATCGGCATCTGGGATCTGCACGCAATGTGCAGGAAGTGCAGTATGAGTACAACCGACCCCATGTACTCAAAAAGTAACAAACCTAACCTCAGATTGGAAGCAGTGACGAGCTAGAACATAGGTCAGGTCCAACACAAATAACCAACAACAGTTCATACAACGTAGAGCATATAAACAAGGAAATCATTTCAGAGATAAAAATGTTCAGGTTTTGCACAGTTTTCCGAAAATAGTTTCGCTTTTCAAGAATATCAGTGAAAACCCAAATCCTTTATCGAAATCATCGAAAAATTGCGAGATAGTTTGAAACTTGTAGTTTTTCTGAAAAATCCTTTCCACAATAAATAAAAAATGTTTCATTTCCTTCCAAATAGCAAGTGTGAAATACCACTCTATGCCTATATATCAATGTCTGTAAAAAGTTACGAATGATATGATACCGTACATCATGAGGGAACTGCGTCTCTATACATGTATGCCATATATGCATGCCAATCTCATGTATCTCATAACTGAATCATGTATTCACACTCTTAGAGTACTCAACCTCACTGTATCACACTTTTCATTCATCATACTCAACTACTTGGTACTGTATATGGACCATACGGCCCAGGAAAATTCATCCCGGAACATATACAACACTGACTATAAGTCACACAGTACCGAGGAAGAAGGGCAATCCAATCCTGTGGAAAAATCCATCTCCAGGTATCAAGTACTTCGGACAAATCCATGTCCAGGGAAATCCATCCCTCAATAATATATAAATGCTCAACCACTCGGTACTGTATATGGCCCATGCAGCCAGAAAAATCCATCCCGGAACATATACAACTCTGACTAGAAGTCACCTAGTACCGAGGAAAAAGGGCAATCCAACCCTGTGGAGAAATCCATCTCCAGATATCAAATACTTCGGACAAATTCATGTCCAGGAAAATCCATCCCTCAATAATATCATCCGTGCCCACTGTGGATGTGCCACTGCGGAGGGGATCCTACGGCCCAAGCGCTATAACAAGCCAATCATAGCATAAATCAATAAAATCATGTTGCGGCATGCAGCCCGATCCCATAACTGTAACTCATAATCAGCTCTCGGCCTCACTCAATCATCAATCTCTCCAGTCTCGCCCACGGGCTCACAATGTCATGAAAATTGACCCGGAATAATGATATGATGTATCAAATAGTAACAACTGAGACTGAGATATGATATGAATGCATGAATGTGACTGAGTACGAAATATCAATGAAATCAATGAGATGACATCAAGAAACAACCGCTAGGGGTCCCAACAATATCATCACAAAGCCTAAACATGATATCTATCATGATGTGCAGCTCATTTACTTTATCACAGGGTGAAAAATATAAATATCAACAAAGTGGGCCACTAAACAGTGCCCTGGAAACAACAGAGTCGCATCTCACAGGGTGCACGCCCACACGCCCGTCACCTAGCATGTGCGTCACCTCAACACCAATCACATAACACATAATTCGGGGTTTTATACCCTTAGCACTAAGTTTAGAAGAGTTACTTATCTTAAGCAAGCCAATTCTGACATCGAGCAAGCCAAGCGATGCTCTAAGAATGCCATCACACGTGTAGCGACGTTCAAACGGCTCAAAACTAGCCAAAGCAACTCAAATACATCAAATAAAGCCCAAGAAAATAATTTCAAATGATAAAGATCGAATTCTACATCAAATCCCAAATCCGGCCAAAAATCACACCCGGGGCCCATGCCTCGAAACTCGACAAAACTCACAAAATCCGATAACTCATTCAATTACGAGTCCAACCATACTAGTTTCATTCAATCCCGCCTCCAATTCGATGTTCAAAACTCAAGAATTGATATTATGAGGCCATAACCTCCAATTTTCTCTTTAAAATTCATCAACTAAAAGCTAAAATCGAAGATAAATTCATGGAATATAACCAAAACCGAGTAGAGAACACTTACCCCAATTCATATGGTAAATATTGCTTCAAGAATCGCCTCAATCCGAGCTCCATATCTCCAAAAATGTAAAAATGGCCGAAACCCTCGAAGTAGAGTACTTTATACTTCTGCCCAGACATCCTCTTTCGCGAACGCGGGATAACCATTGCGTTCGCGATGAACAACAATGAAAGCCACCAAAAATGCTCTACACGTTCGCGGCACAAGACTCGCGAACGCGATACACACTAGAGACAGCACTACGCAAACACGACACAAGCCTCATGAACGCAATGAAGAAAAATCCCATAGCTCTAGCTTCCAGCTCAACTCTATGCAAACGAGATCTCTCATATGCTAATGCGAAGGCGACTAGCCCTACCCTTCGCGAACGCGGACCAACATTCACGAACGCGATTAAGAAATTGCCACTGCCATCAAAATACACTACACGTTTGCGGCACTTGCCTCGCGAACGCGATGAAGGATTGAGACACCAAATATCAACATAATGCAACAGTGAAACATGAAGGAAAAATAGCCCGGAACCAATCCGAAATATGCCCGAGCCCCTCGGGATCCCATCCAAACATACCAACGAGTCCCATAACATAACACGAACCTACTCGAGGCCTCAAAACACTCATAACAACATCGAAACGATGAATAACACTTCAATTCAAAATCAATGAACCTTGAAACTTCAAACTTCTACAACCGATGCCGAAACCTACCAAATCACATCCGATTGACCTCAAATTTTGCACACAAGTCACATTTGACATTAAGAACCTGCTCCAACTTCCAGAATCGAAATCCGACCCTAATAGCAAAAAGTCCACTACCGATTAAACTTTCCAAAATTCCAACTATCGCCATTTTAAGACAAATTCTACTACGGACATCCAAATCACAATCCGGACGCGTTTAGGTCCAACATCACCCAGCGGAACTAACGGAACCATCAGAAATCCAATCCGAAGTCAAATTCTAAAAAGTCAAACTTGGTAAAACATTTCAAATTTAAAGCTTAAAGTTGAGAATCATTCTTCCAAATCAATTCCGAATAACCTGAAAACCAAAACTGACGATTTACATAAGTCATAATACATCACACGGAGCTACTCATTCCCTCAAACAAACCGAACAAAGTGCAAATGCTCAAAACGACCGGTCGGGTCGTTACAAAAAATTCACTTAAATTAGAAAGAAAACAAAAATTACAAGAGAAATACTAGTATATGTTTAATTTCCACTTTCAGTGCCTCTGCAATTTATTATTTTTCTTCCTCTATTTAAAATGTTCATAATTGGACCAGCAATAGAATATTCTCCCACCCCCCTGTTGGGATTTTAAGTATATGATATGCTTAAAATAGGGTGAATGAGAAATGGAGGGAAATAAAAATTTTAAGTGAAATTTTAAGTTTCCCCCCTTGGCAAAGGGACATTGTCCCATATTGGAAGAGGAAGAGGTTTTTTATGGGTATATAAGCAATTGCTCTTCTTCTAGCTCTTAAAGAGTTGAGAAGAAGGCAAGCCTCGCGCCGTCTTCGTCGTCGCTCTCTCGGCTTCGGTTTCGGATTCGGATTTGGATTTGGTCAAATCATATCTAGATTGATTAATTTTTTGAACCAACACCGGCAGCATTGGCACCGGCGGAGAAACCCGAAAATTTTTCTAGGATTGATTTCAAGCGCTGGCAACAAAAGATGTTCTTCTACTTGACTACTCTAAGTCTCTAGAAGTTCATCAAGGAAGATGTTCCTGTGCTGTCTGATGAAACTCCAGAGACTGAACGCTTTCTCGTGATTGAGGCGTGGAAGCATTCAGATTTTTTGTGCAAGAATTATATTCTAAGCAGGCTGGAGGATGCTTTTTATGACGTCTACAATGGCGTGGAAACGTCAAAAAACTGTGGATTGTGCTTGAAAATAAATACAAAACTGAAGATGCCGGGGTGGAAAAGTTCGTTGCAACAAAGTTTTTGGACTACAAAATGGTAGATAGCAAGTCTGTTATTACCCAAGTCTAGGAATTGCAAGTAATTATTTACGATCTCCTTGCTGAAGGTCTTGTCATCA